GCCCCTCTCTCTTTCTTTCTTGCCTGGGCACTGTCCTTAAGCTTCTTTTGCTCAAAGCCAGCACTCTACCACTTGAGCCACAGCACCACTTCCAACTTTTTCTGCTTATGTAGTGCTGAGGAATGGAACCCAGGGCTTCATGCATGCAAGGCAAGCACTCTACCACTAAGCCACATTCCCAGCCTCTGTCCAGTCTTTCTACGTGCTCCTAGGTCTTGGCTGGTCCCGGCCTGTGTCTGGTGGGTCAATGTGTGTCTTGCCTCTCTGTCTCTGCCTTCTTGGCCTCTTCCTGCCGTCTTCTGAGTCCTGGGCTGTGGGTTCCAGAACTCTGCCTCTCTCCCATTAGCCTCTGGTGTTCCAGCAGCCTTTCCCCCAGCAGGGAGGAGTTGGATAGATGGGTGCGGGGTGGAGGAATACACTGGCCACTCTGTGAGGTTCTTCTGAGGAGTCCTTCTGGTCAACCCTCTTCCTGCCTCTTCCCAGGCAGGTGTTGGGCAAAGGCTTGTGGCAGAGGCTCTGGGACAGGCGGCTGCGCCTGTGTGTGGGTGGCCTGACTCCCCTCCTCTATATCCAGGGCTTCTTCCGCCGCAGCATCCAGAAGAACATGGTGTACACGTGTCACCGGGACAAGAACTGCATCATCAACAAGGTGACCCGGAACCGCTGCCAATACTGCCGGCTGCAGAAGTGCTTCGAAGTGGGCATGTCCAAGGAGTGTAAGTGCCACACCTGCCCCAGGTGGGGCTCGAGGGAGTGGGGCCGTATGGATGTGTGTGCACATGTGTGAACATGCATGCTTGTGGCATGCAAGTTCATAGCACAGATGGTTTGTGTGTAGCTGCAAGGACCTGTTTGTGAGTCTGCCTGGCTGGGTGTTGAGATGTGGGTCAGTGCTGGAGTGCAGTGTGCATGGGACCATTCATTCCATGTGCACGTCTGTGTGTGCTGGCATGCGTGTGTATATGTGTACCCATGCTCAGGACAGCCTTCTTCCAGGCCCTTGCTTGCCTTTGGGGTAAGGATCAGTGGTGTACTTGAATCTCTTTTAATTAGGCATCTTTCATGGGGGTGGGAGGTGCGGAGCCTGATCTCTGTGGGGTACAAGGTTTGTGCTTATGTTTTGGGGGGCTGGCACAAGGATCCAGAAGCCATCGTTGGGGTAAGCCTGAGACTTGGAATCAGAAGAGAGAATTGGGCTTCTGAGATTCCCAGAGGAACAGGGACTTCCAGTTGGGCTCAGCTGAGGCCTAGGAAGGGAGAGAGGGAGGGAGAGGCTGGACAGGGAGACCCTCTTGTGTTGAATCATGGGTGTTGCCGTGGTGACTGGTGATTGATGATGTCAGAGATAAATGACGCTGACAGACGCCTCCTTGTCTGCGTGGCCGTTGCCATGGAGCCTGGGGATGGGGTGGGGGAGGGGGCGGCAGGACCCCCTACCCCCTTGTGGGAAGGGAAGTGGGGAGGGGCAGGGGGATGATTTTGACTCATGCACTAGGAGCCTTAGACAAGAGCGGAAGGGAGCTGGAGTATGCTGCCTGCTCCTGCCCCTGGAGGCTGGTAGTGCCCGTCTGGAGTCTAGGAAGTGGTACTTCCTTGAGGCGGAGTGATACCACTTGGGACTTGAAGGCCTGGGACCCTTCTCTGGCAGGCCGTCACCTCCTTCTCCCTCAGGGCCACCTTCTCCTCCTTTCACTGCAGAAGGACCAGGGTGGGGACCCCTCTCCCTCCCACTGCCGACTCCCCCTTTCTCTCCCTCCTTCCCCTCTCCCTGCTGCTCTGTGCCCTGGAGCTGAGCAGCTGCCATTTCAATAGAATTAAAGCTTCCGAATGATAAACGTCTTGTCACAGCTGCAATTTTCTCTTCCCAAATTATCCCCCCACTCTCTCTCTCTCTCCCTCTCCCTCTTCTCCCCTGCACTTTATTGAATTTGCAGAATCGACATGAGTGATCTCCAAATTATGCCAGCGCGCCCCCCCCTCTGCCCCCTCCCGAGTCCCCCCAACCCCCACCCTGCTTTCCTCCCTCGTCAGCAGCCACCACCATGGCCCTGTGAATGATTGTGTGTCTGGGATAATCGGCTGGTAACGACCCCATCGCTTCTTTAAAGCCGAGTGGTGTGTGCGGCTCAGCGCCCCTGGTGATTTGTCAGCTCCCCGGCTAATGGGCCGAGAGATTCTCCTGTGGGCCCCCCACTCTCTTGGGCTGTGGGGCCCTTAGTCCCTGCCTGCCTGCCTGCCTGCCAGACAAGCTGCTCTGAGCCAGGCCCAGGGACCCCCTGGGAGAGTGTGGCCTGGAAGGCAGGCAGCCCCCCTGGGAGGCAGAGGAGCGTTGCAGATTGTGAGGCTTCAGGTCCTGAGCACTGGCCCTTGGCGCGTGGGCTGGAGGGACAGATGCGTGGGAGAACAGGGCCTCACAGGCTGCCACACGTGTGTGTGTGTGTGTGTGTGTGTGTGTGTATGCGCGCGCGCATGCATGCCAGCACGCTCATGTGTGGGCATCTACGCATCTACTCCCAGCCAGGTGACCTCAGCAGCTGGCAGCTAGGGCTGGTGCAAGTTGCTTGGGCTGGACCTAGGCTTGGGGTGCGCACTGTGTGTGGCAGCTGCTCTCTTAACGGCCCTGTGCCCTCCACAGCTGTGCGGAACGACCGGAACAAGAAGAAGAAGGAGACCCCAAAGCCCGAGTGCTCGGAGAGCTACACACTGACGCCGGAAGTGGGGGAGCTCATCGAGAAGGTGCGCAAGGCGCACCAGGAGACCTTCCCCGCCCTCTGCCAGCTGGGCAAGTACACTACGGTATGCCACAGGGCCCTCTGCCTCACATTGCCACCTCACCCCAGCCAGGGTCTCCTGGCCTCCCCTTGCCCTTCCTCTGCCCTCTGCCCCTTCTGCCAAGCAGCTCTCAGGAAGCAAGGCTGGGTGGAGGGCTGGCCGGGGAGCCGGTGGAATCAGGCTGAGGATGGGTGCCATGGAGGAGGCTCTCACTCTCCTCCCTCCCCCAGAACAACAGCTCAGAACAACGTGTCTCTCTGGACATTGACCTCTGGGACAAGTTCAGTGAACTCTCCACCAAGTGCATCATTAAGACTGTAGAGTTTGCCAAGCAGCTGCCCGGCTTCACCACCCTCACGATCGCTGACCAGATCACCCTCCTCAAGGCTGCCTGCCTGGACATCCTGGTGAGGGGCTGCTCCTGTTCCCTGGGCACTGCTCTGACCTCCCTGCACATGTCTGGGACTGACCCATCCACATGGCCAGCACCCAGAGAGCCATCTTTTTCCTCCCACATCAGCCTGTCCATTCATCCATTGTCCGCCGACCCAGGTGTACATGGGTTTACCTGGTCACCTATGCCCACACCTGTCTGTCTTCCCCATCTGTCCATCCCTCCATTTAGTCCATAATGAGAGTCCCCTGGGGCCCCCTGGCCAGTCCCATTGCTGAATGCATAGACTTGAACACACCACCTCCCTTCTCTCAAAAACCTCCCAGTGGAGGAGGCCGTAGGCAGTGAACAGATCTGAAGCTGCTTACTGCTGAGGTGGGGGAGGGCTGGCCTCTCCCTGCTACCCTCCCCCCAACAAGGATGTCTCAAAGGAGTACCTCGTGGGTTCTTACAGGGGTGGGTGAAAGGTCATCCCTCCCCTAGGAGCAGGTGAAAGGCCTGCTGGATTCAGGGGACAGGAAGGTACTTGGAGCTGCCAGCGTGACCCGAGCAAGGGATGGGGTGCAGGGTAGTACAAACAGCCCAAGTGGAGGCTGGAAGGAGGACTTCCTTTTCCTCTGTCATCCGTAAGAAGGGATGTTCCCTCCCAGGTACAGCCAGGGATGGGAGTGTGGAACGTGTGGTCCAGGCCGTGCACCGATGTGACCTACACAATTGAGTTCCTGTGATTCAGGCTGACGCGCCGTTGATCAGGCTCTGTTCTGGAAATCCCTTTCCCTCAGAATTCTCTGCACGGAGACAGCGGCGCAGTGACTTAGATTGGCGCTGCCCAGCTCAGTCGCAGCTCACCACATGTGACTATATTTAAACCTAAATTAATTACAGTTAGATTCAGTTCAGTTGCTCAGATGCATTAGCCACATCTCAAGTGCTCTGTAGTCACATGGGGCTGGTGACTACCATGTGGGCTGTGCAGACAGAACCTTTCCATCACTGCAGAAAATTCTGCCGGACAGCCGCGCTCTGGCTGCCTGCCAGGGGCCTCTGGGGATTGCTGGTGCTGGAGTGCTAGGAATGGGTGGGATTGAGCCCTGGATTTGTGCTTCCCCTGAACTCAGATCCTGCGGATCTGCACGCGGTACACGCCTGAGCAGGACACCATGACCTTCTCAGACGGGCTGACTCTGAACCGGACCCAGATGCACAATGCTGGCTTCGGTCCCCTCACCGACCTGGTCTTTGCCTTCGCCAACCAGCTGCTGCCTCTGGAGATGGACGATGCTGAGACCGGGCTGCTCAGCGCCATCTGCCTCATTTGTGGAGGTGAGTAGGGGCCTAGGACAAGGCCCAGACCCAGGGTTGGGGTGCAGACCCTAGATCCTCTTCTAAGAAACTGAAGCCTGTCAGGTCTCTCTCAAACGGGACATTGAGGCTCAGGACGCAGTGTCTGCTTCTGCCTCTGCTAGACACCAACGCCTGAACCTCTTGTTCCCTGTTTCTGGGCAGCATTCTTCTAGGTGCCTAGATCAAGAGTGAGAGGCAGACCACCCAGGGTCAAGTCCTAGGTGGCTGTGTGACCTTGAGCAGGTTGCTGGGCTTGGAGCATCTGTTTCTGTCTGATGGATCAATAGTGGCCTCTTCCTCATAAAGATGGGGGGAGGGGTAAATAAGGCACTGTGTGCCCAGACTAAGATCTGCTGTTGCTGTCACTTGTGTGTATCATGCTGCTTTCCCAAGTAATGATGTCTGTGGGTCTGTGTGAGGGAGCTCTTCCTGTGACCTGGCCCCATACCACCAACTGGACTGTAGGGGAGGGTTTTGGGCTGCCTAGGTTTCCATTTCTCTGGCCTTGCCTGGAGGCACCTGGGAGCAGCCAGGCTCCTGTGCTGTGGCCTGGGCAGGTGCGACCTCCAGTGGCTGTGGCTGGGAGTGCAGTGGTGTTCCCGAGTGACCTGGCCTGCCTGCTCAGAGGTTGGCTTTGTGCTTCCCAGATCGGCAGGACCTAGAACAGCCAGAAAGGGTGGACATGCTCCAAGAACCGCTGCTTGAGGCACTGAAGGTGTATGTGAGGAAACGGAGGCCCAGCCGCCCCCACATGTTCCCCAAGATGCTGATGAAGATCACGGACCTGAGAAGCATCAGTGCTAAGGGTGAGTCTCCTGGTGCTGGAAGACCCACTCCTGACCCAGGCCCAGGGCCTGGACCCCCACAGCAGGGCTGGCACTCACGTCTTTATGCTTGTCTGGATCCAACCTGTCCCCATTCAGACCACAACAGTGTTGGCATGTTCACACCACTGAATAGGGCTGTGTGTGTGTGCGGGGGGCAGTGGTTGTGTTCAGAGGTGTCAGCTCCCAGCACTGGGGACCAAGCCAGGGCCAAACCAGCAGGCAGTGTGCACCTGGACCTGAGGTCAGAGCCATTTATCACAGTGCCACATGTTAGAGACTTGAGAGCCGGCATGTATCACATCGCGAGGGCAGAACACGATGGAGACCCACAGGGCAGCATTGGTTTCCTCATTCCCAGCTTCTCTCCCAGAGGGGCTTTGTGGGCGGGGCTAGGGCTCAGCTGGTGCACTGACCTTTGCCCTCCCCTTCCTGCAGGGGCTGAGCGAGTGATCACCTTGAAGATGGAGATCCCAGGCTCTATGCCGCCTCTTATCCAGGAAATGCTGGAGAACTCGGAGGGCTTGGACACTCTGAGCGGACAGGCAGGGGGTGGGACAAGGGACGGGGGTGGCCTGGCCCCTCCGCCAGGCAGCTGTAGTCCCAGCCTCAGTCCCAGTTCCAACAGAAGCAGCCCAGCCACCCATTCCCCATGACCACCGCGCCACATGGACACAGCCCTCACCCCTGTCCTGGCTTTTTCTGCCTTCTACCGACCATGCAACCCTTGCCAGCCCTGCCCCTGCCCATCCTCCCAGACAGAACTTGGGACAGGAGGAGGAGGCAGCGACTGTGGACAGAGATCTGGGCCTGCGATGGACTGTCTCTTCCCACAGCTGGGGCTGACACCGGGGCAAGGTGGAGCCCAGGAAGGACCTGGCCTGGGCCTGCTGCCCATGGAGACGGACGGCCCCTGCCCACCCGGCCACATCTTCATCACCAGCAAACGGCCGCCGGGACCTGGCTCTCTCTCCATCCTTTGAACTCATAAGCCATTGCTCCCCAGCTGGGGGCCCTCCCCCTGCCTTGGTTGGTGACCGAGGGGTGGCTGGGGTGGGGGAGCTTCCCCTGTACATACCCTGAGTACCAACCCCCCCAGGTATTAATTCTCGCTGGTTTTGTTTTTATTTTAATTTTTTTTGGTTTTGATTTTTTTTTAAATAAGAATTTTCATTTTAAGCACATTTATACTGAAGGAATTTTGCTGTGTCTTGCGGGGAGCTGGATTCCAAGTTGGAGGGGGTGGGGCCTCGGGAGGGACCGGGCTCCAGGGACGCCCCTCTCCGTCCCTTGTCCCTGCACTCTCCTCAGCCTTTTCTCCTCAGTTTTCTCTTTAATACTGTGAAGTACTAACTTTCCAAGGCTGTCTTTGCCTCCCTGTGTGAGGACAGAAGCCAGCCCCCTTCCCCCGCTCACCCCTGAGGGTGGGCAGAGTCCGCAGCACTTCTGGAAGGAGAGGGCCTTTGGAACCTGCCTCCACCCACCAAGAGGCAGGCTGGGGCCCCCTGGGGTGAGAGCGGGGTGCTGTCCACCTGCCAGGCCCCCACCATCCAAGCTCCCGGCCCCACTGTGAAGGGGCTGGCCAAGGAGTCCAAGCTGCCCCCCTCAGCCTCACAGCCACCAGCACCCCACCCCACGGGGCCCCTAGACACACACACACACACACACACACACACAGAGTAGATGGCAACACACTTGGCCTGAGTTCCTCCATTCCTTGGCCTGTCCTCTCTCACCCTATACCCATGTCCCCTCATTGCCCCGCAGGACGGGCCTCCAGGGGGACCCCTCCCCTTGCCCCTGCATTCCTGGGCTGGGGGAGCTGGCTCTGCCCTGCCCTCCTGGCCGTGGGGTTGGGGTCTCATCCCTGGAGCTGGTGCACCTGTTACTGTTGGGCTTTCCACTAAGATCTACTGGATAAAGAATAAAGTTCTATTTATTCTACATGTGTCTGTGTCTTGCTACCTGGACAGTGGTCTTGATATTAGGGTGCTCCCTGGCAGGCTTTAGAACTTTGTGATCAGGTACAGGGGGTCAAGTAGAGCCCCTGCTATGTGGAGGTCTACACTGTCTGGGTTGGGGGGGGTGGGAAGGCTGGGAAAAGGGACCTGACAGGAGAACCTGCTGTGCCTTTGGGAGCCCCAGTTGGGGAGAAAGTAGGTCCCTGGGTTTCAGCACTTCAGCCTTGGGGTACCAGAGGCTAAGCTTACAGCCACTCACTGTCAGAGAAACTCAATTTGGGGAGTGGCCAGAGGCTTTGATCTTCATGACAGCAGTGTCAGGTGTCATGGGCTAAGGTCAGGGTTTGGTGGCATGAGACACCAACACTAGCTCCCCAAGAGCAGCCCCTCCACATCCAGCCTCCTGCAGGAAGGACTCCCTCTGTCCTGTCCACCCTGAGGCCACTCTACATAGCAGGCACAAAGGACAGACTGCATGAGAGCCTGGAGTGTGTGCTGGCCTTCCCTTCTACTGCTCCACATTTCACCCGGGAGACAGCAGAGTCCTTGAGCAAAGTCAGGCAGTGACTTTAGTGGCAGATCAGAGAATCGTCGTTTGAAGCCAGCCTGGGCAGAAAAGACTGTGAGACTCTTATCTCCAAGTAACCACCCAAAACCCAGAAGTGGTGCTGTGGCTTAAATGGTAGAGTGCTAACCTTGACAGAGAGGCTCAGGGACAGCTCCCAGCCCCTGAATTCAAGCCCCACAACCAACCAAAAAAACAAAAAGTGATGTACAGAGGGGTTACACTTACATAAGTCAGGTACAGAGTACATTGCTTGGGCTGGGAATGTGGCTTAGTGGTAGTGTTTGTCTAGCATGCATAAAGCCTTGGGTTTGATTCCTCAGTACCACATAAACAAAAAGCTTGGAAGCCTCGGGACTGGCAAAAAAAAAATTCTTTTTGGACAATGTCACCCCTTCCCTCACAGTCATGTTGTTGTTTTTTTAATTTTTAATTTTTTAATTTTTAATTTTTTGTCAGTCATGGGGTTTGAATTCCAGGCTTGGGCGCTGTCCCTCAGCTCTTCAGCTCAAGGCTAGTACTCTACCACTTGAGCCACAACACCACTTCCATTTTTCTGGTGGTTTATTGGAGATGAGTCTCTAGGCTGGGCCTGGGAAGGTGGCTCAGTGGTAGAGTGCTTGCCTTTCATGCCTGAGGCCCTGGGTTCGATTCCTCAGCACCACATAAGCTAAAAGAAAAAAGCCGGAGGTGGCGCTGGGGCTCAAGTGGTAGAGCGCTAGCCTTGAGCTGAAGAACTGAGGGACAGCGCCCAGGCCCAGAGTTCAGGCCTCATGACGGGACCCAAAAACAAAACAAAACAAAACAAAAGAGTCTCTCGGCTGTGCCTGCCTGGCCTGGCTTTGAACCACGATCCTCAGATCTCAGCCTCTTGAGGAGCTAGGATTACAGGAGTGAGCCATGGGCATCCAGGGCTCTCCCGGTTTTTAACCTCAGCCTAGAGCTTTTTATTGGATAGCTGGAACCCCACAAGAGGAATCACAGTGGGTGTGATGGTAGGAGGAGCTCAGTGCCCTAGGCAAAGAACAAGAGGTTCCCTGGGAGGCCCCCAGCATTTCTATACCAGCCACAAGGGGGCAGCAGCTCCTTCTGTAAGGCCCTCTCCAGAGGGCACCTTGGGAAGAGGTGATTTCCTCTGGGAAATATTTTCTAACATCTTTAGGAAACAAATCAAAGTATAAAATTCTTCTATGCATACTTTCAAATATCAGTGTGATATCACATATTACACAGGAGGAATGGGGATGCATTATGTATTGCAATACATTTGTTTGTGCTTCTATTGTAAATGAGGACTTTTTAATCTAGCAGGCTACGACAGCACACTGAAACAAACAGAAACGAGATTTTTTTCTTTTTGGTTGTAGAGTTTGAATTCAGGATGCGGTTCTTGAGATTTTTCCTGCTTAAGGTTAGTGCTCTACCACTTCGAGCTTCACTTCTGGTTTTCTGGTGGTTAACTGGAGGTAAGAATTTCATAAACTTTCCCGCCCAGGTTGGCTTTGAACTGTGGTCCTCAGATCTCAGTCTCCTGAGTAGCTAGGATTCTAGGCATGAGCCACCAGAGCCCAGCAAAAACTGTAATATTCATGAATATATCAGAACAAAACAGAAACCAAATCCAGAAACAAATTTTCCACATAAACCAGGGCCAGGTACTAGGCTAAGGTAATTTAAAGAGATTGTTCGATTGTTCTCTATATAAATATATCTTTTTAAAATTCTATATTTATTTATTTTGTTGGTCACAGAGCCTGAACTCTGGCTCTTCAGCGCAAGGCTAGTGCTCTGCCACTTGAGCCACAGCACCACTTCTGGCTTTTCCTGCTTATGTGGTTCTGAGGAATTGAACCGAGGGCCTCATGCATGCAGGACAAGCACTCTACCACTGTGCCACCTTCCCAGCTCCAAATTCTATTTATTTATTTTTTTTGTCTTTTCTTTTTTGGTCCTGGGATGGAACCCAGAACATTGCACTTGCTTAGGCACGTGCTTTGCCACTGAGCTACATCCGAGCCCTGTAAACGTCTCTCATTTTGGGGGGGGTCTGGTCATGGGGCCTGAACTCTGGGCCTGGGCGCTGTCCCTCAGCTCTTCAGCTCAAGGCTAGTGCTCTACCACTTGAGCCACAGAGCCACTTCCGGCTTTTTTGTCTTTTTGCTTATGTGGTGCTGAGGAATCAAACCCAGGGCCTCATGCATGCAAGGCAAGCGCTCTACCAATGAGCCACCTTCCCAGCCCTGTAAACGTCTCTTTTAAACTTGGATGTAACAATGCTTTATTTTGAGAGGGTATCTTGGCATCCATATTCCTTTATCAAAGCCATCTGAGTCCCTGATCACTGTGACAACCAGGCAGTGGTCCCCACACTGAGGAACTTCCCTTGGGGAAGTGTTCTCCTGTGCTGATTGGCTCACAGTTGGGGATTACTGGGTCCCAGGTCCTCTTTCACACACACACACACACACACACACACACACACACACACACGCAGGCACATGCTATTATTAGGGTTGAACTCAGGGCCTGAGCTCTATCCCTGAGCTTTTTTGCTCAAGGCTTCCACTTTAGCCACAGCTTTACTTCCAGTTTTCTGGTGGTTGATTGGAGATCAGAGACTTTTCCTGCCCAAGCTGGCTTTGAATTACAATCCTCAGATCTCAGCCTCCTGAATAGCTACGATTACAGATGTGAGCCACGTGTGAGCCACCGGTGCCTGGCTCCAGGTTGTCCTTTCCGGTCCTCAGTTCATCAGCGTAAAGCAGAGTCTCAGGCATGGCGCCAGGCACACAGGGCTAGATGACAACTTGCCGCATGCAGCCTCCCTGGCCTCTACCTTGAAGGTGCCAATGGTGTTTCCTCCTGAGCTGTGACAACCAAAGCAGCTGGTGCTGGTGGCTCAGGAGGCTGAGATCTGGAGGACGAAGAGTCAGAGTCAGCCCAGGCAGACATGTTTATGAGACTCTTATCTCAATTAGCCAACAAAAGGCCAGAAGGGGAGGTGTGACTCAAGTGGTAGAGCCTTGAGTAGAAAAAGCTAAGGGTAAGTGGCAGGCCTTAAATATAAGCCCCAGTGCTGATGTTTGCACACATGCACGCGCACACACACACACACACATAGAGTCCCTTTCAGCCACTCACCCTGTAAAGAAAAGACCTAGGTGGGGCCCAGAGGGTTTTTGTAGTTTTGCATAATTAGAAATTGCCAGCAGTTCTGTGTTTTAGTTGGTTCCATTATTTTTGCCTTTTTTTTTTTTTTCCCGGTCAGGCATGGGGCCTGAACTGTGGGCCTGGGCACTGTCCCTCAGCTAGCGCTCTACCGCTTGAGCCACAGCGCCACTTCCAGCTTTTTCTACTTAGGTGGTGCTGAGCAATCAAACCCAGGGCCTCATGCATGCAAGGCAAGCATTCTACCCCTGAGCCACCTTCCTAGCCTTTTGCTATTTTTTGTTGTTGTTGGTGGTGGTGGTCGTGGGGCTTGAACTCTGGGCTTGGGTACTGTCCCTGCACTCTTCAGCTCAAGGTGAGTGCTCTACTGCTTGAGCCACAACACCACTTCTAGTTTTCTGGTGAGTAATTGGAGATCAGAGTCTCCCAGACTTTCCTGCCTGGGCTGGCTTTGAATGGTGATCCTCAGGTCTCAGCCTCCTGAGTAGCTAGGATTACAGGCACGAGCCACCGGTGCCTGGCATCTTTTGCTATGTTTTTGTAAAACAGGATCTAAGTATAATCTAGGCTGGCCTTGAACTCACGATCCTCCTGCCTTTCTACCTCCTGAGTGCTGGGCCTATCAGCTTGGTCTGGGAGGGGCTAGAGCCAAGCTGTAGGCTATCTCCAGAGCAGGGACAGTAGAGTTGCCCTGGGCAGCATCTAAAGGGGTGGTGATGAGAGGAGGTTAACGGGGAAGGTGACGGTTAGGTGGCAAAGTGATGAACTGCAGATGTGGTCAGTAGATGGGCAGCTGGTCCCTGGGGGTCGGGACCTTTCGGCTGCAGCCCTACATCAAGGTCTGTGATGTGCGGCGCATGCTGGCCCTGCCATGGGGCTATGGCTGGTGGAAGCTGAGATGTGCTGAGGGTAAAGTCCACGCCAGCTTTGGAGACTTCGTAGAACAATGTGAAGGCTGGCGCGTGTGATCACGTAGCAGAGGTACTTGCTGAGCAAGGCTGAAACGCTGAGTTCAAATCACAGTACCACCCAAAGGCGAAAATGTCTCCTTAATACTTTTTCATATCAATGATGGGCTGCAGATATAAGATATTATGAACACGATTCACATCTGGTTCCTTTTTTCTCTCTCTTTAATAATGTGGTTAGTGGAAAACTTGAAATATGGTTCACATGCTTTTTAATCAAGTAATGCTGATCCCAGACGCTGCCTGACACATCACAGGTGCTCAACAAGTATTTGTTGAATGAACTTGTCTGGAAAAGAGCTGGATAGCCGTACTCGCATTTGCACAGAGAGGCCCAAGTGGTGCACACAGAGCAGACTGTCTTTAGAGAGCGGGAAGAGCCTATCCCCCGGCATTAGGGAGCATGGGTATGTGTTGGATCATGTGAGGGGATGGGCTGAGACCCCTCAAATTTCTCACCAAACACCCCTACACGTGCAGGGGGCAGGAAAGTCATCCTGGGAAAGCCCGGGACTTGCGTGCTGACTTACGGGGGGCTCCCAGTGATGGCCTCTCCCCAAGTTGTTTGCTTCTAAGCAAGACCAAAACCAGGCAGGCAACAGCTAGGGAGGCAGGGAGGCTGCATGAGTGAGGAACAGAAGCCAGCATGGCACTTGCTAGGAATAGAAACCTTGGCATCAGGGGTTGAAGGCATGGCTCAGCCGGGAGAGCCCTAGCCAACGAGCAAAGGTACCAGGTTCCGAGTTCCAGTCCTGCTCTGGGACCAAAAGAAAAGAAATTTTAGGGCTGGGAAGGTGGCTCAGTGGTAGAGCGCTTGCCTTGCATGCCTGAGGCCCTGGGTTCGATTCCTCAGCACCACATAAGCAAAAAGAAAAGCTGGAAGTGGCACTGTGGCTCAAGTGGTAGAGCGCTAGCCTTGAGCTGAAGAGCTGAGGGACAGCGCCCAGGCCCAGAGTTCAGGCCCCACAACCGGACCCAAAAACAAAACAAAACAAAACAAAAAACACCCACACAACAAAACAAAAAACAAAACCCTTCTGTGGAAAGCATGAGGCTCTGAGTTCAAGTCCCAATACTGGCACACACAAAAAAGCCGACTCAAGGAAGAAAGAGAGTGCATGAAATTTCAGAAAGAGGCAGAGAGGCAGAAATGGGCAGTGTGGTGGTGTGGCGGTCAAAGGCAGAGCCTGGTCAGCAGCTGTGATGGCAGCTTCTGCATTGGTCACTTGGTCCCGGGTGAGCTTGTAGAGAGTGGGCCCTCTGGGGTGGTAGAAGAAGACAGGTGGGGGCAAGAAGAGGCAGGGAAGAGTGGGCCCCCTCTGAGCTCTTGGAAGGCCTAGGCGGGAGGAAGAGTTAGCTGGGAGGGGTCGGGGCAGGAGCAGCTTTTTCCTGAGGATGCCAGGGCCTTGACCACGTTTACAGACTGGGAGAACAGCAGCGTGTGTGTGTGTGTGTGTGTGTGTTTACAGATGGAAAAGACAAGAATAACACTAGTCCTTCCTCCTATGGTCTCTCACCTCCACTCCATCACTATCTGGGGCCCTGCCATGTGCTTGGCGTGGGGATGTGTGCGTGTACAGATCTACAGGGTTGGGAACTTCGGTTGATGTGAGCTCCTTCAGAAGGAACACCATCACAGGTCGCTGTACGCAGGGAGGGGCAACCCGGGGCCCACCGTGGCCGTGGATCCTGGTCATCCAGGCACTGAGAGCAGCCACCGCACACCTGCGCCCAGAGCTCCCCAGGCCTCGGCATGCGCAGTGCGCATGTGCAGCGTATACGTGTGGGCGTGCAGAGAGCGGGGGCCGAATGTACAGGTCCACAATGCGTGCACTCGGCTCCCCAGGACAGCATCCCAAAATGCGCATAGAATTCACAGCCGCCATACCCGTCTGTTACACACACGTTCACAACTCACCCAGGCGTGTAAGCACACAACTTCCTTGGGGGATGGGGCAAGTTCGTGTATGTGTGCGCACTTCCGTACACGTGCGTGGGTGCAGCTTGCACAGGGTGTGTGTATGCACGGTACGCGTGCGCAGAGCTCAGCGGGGTTTCCGCGTGCATGCACACAGCCCCCAGGGTTCTGGGTGCACACTCATGGACAACGCCAGAGAGTTACTCCTGTGGGGCCGAGAATGCTGGTTAGGTTCCCGGTACCCTAACCAGGTCGCCAGCTGCCGGCCTCCTTGTCCCCTTCCTCTGGTCCCCACCCCACCCCCCGACTTCGCACCCCGCCGGGATCCGGGCATCCCCGAGGACTCGGCCCTCGCTCGGCAGGCAGCGGGCAGCTCGGCGCAGTGGGGGCCGCGGCGGTGCCA